CCCCCCCCCCCCCCCCCCCCCAAATCCATGACTCTGATTGACCAATGTTCTTCCTTCCCTTAGCCTGATCCTTACACTCTTCCTATATAACCCACACACATACGAGACACATTTCATTCTTATACAAAATGTGCATTAAACTTTTTTCTGCGTTCCATGGTAGAATTCTTCTTACCGTGCCTGCCGTGTCTAGAATTTCAAGCATACATTGCTGCCCGTCCACTTCAACTTGCTTCCTGTAGCTGTCCTCAATAGTAGGATCATATTTCTCGACAAAGATGCCCTGCACAAACTGGACAGTAAGAGCTGATTTTCCTACGCCTCCACTTCCCAGGACCACAATCTTGTACTCGCGCATTCTCGACAGCAAAGCCCTTTCCCGCTCGATCTGAAAATAAGCACACCAATTTAAAACACACTCGCACAGAATTAAGTGCCAGAATACAAGTAACATTCCTAAACAAATCACTTCTTTCAGGAAAAAAGTTAAACTGAACTTGACAATCTCTCCACAATGGAAATAATGCAACTTACAACTTCCCATCAAGTTTAGGTTTCTCCTCTCAGTTCACGTGCAATTTTACAAGAGTACTTTACACGCTCTTACAAGTTTCACAATTTATTCAACCACATTCACTAGCTTTCACAGAAAAATGTCATTAAATAACCACTCACAAGTGTGTGTGCAATTCAGAAATCCAAAAGCGCTGCCCAAACCAATAAAAAATTATAAAACACATGGTTTAAGCAACCAAGAAAGATCTTGAAAGAGACTTTCAGATGAATGAGGCCAGAAAGGGTCAATGAGCGGTGGCCTAACACTGTTAACCGCTACATGTTTCTAGACAGAACGCAGAAAGACTAGTACATTATATATACATGTGTTGGCGCATCTGGTTGGAAAGTTACGGGAATTCCTTGTGGTTTCTGGACAACTGATATTACGTATTAACTAGAAGGCGGAGAGAGGAGAGGGGCCTGTAAGTGGAAAGGAAGTGGACTCTTTCCTTTCCTCCTTGTGTGAATATGCTGCCTGCCACAAAGAACACCAATGAAGAGTCAGGACATTATTTTAATGCAATGGTTTTCATTTGATTGAGGAACTTAAACCTAAGACAACAAAAATAAATAGCACTGAACCTGATATCAGGATGTGGGTACGACTATGAATGAGTGATGAAAATCAGATTTCTTGCTACTGGTTTACAATGTGACATATTATAGGATAAATCTGGTAGGGAATAGACAACATGCTGCCTTCTGTACTAATTCCACTGACCAACAAGGTGATTATTTTGGCTAGCAATTGTGCCCTTCATTTGACTCACAGCGCAGCAGCAGAGGAAGTCATGCAGATATGTTCTTGC